TGTGGGGTTTCTGTTTGGAAGTGAATCTCCAAGTACCTGAAGCCTAGCACCTGTAGTTGTTTGTGAGGGTGAACTTGTGCATGTAAAGTTTTAACCATAGAAAAAAAATGTTCAATAGTGGTTGTGGAGAGCCGGAGAGGCACCCCCCCCAGAGCACTGAGTCCAGCGCTGGGAGACCCAAAGCCCCAGGCACCCAAAGGGACCCCAAGAGCGAAGGCACCAAGGAGGGGCCAGCCCCGGAAATCAGACCCCCACCAAACGGAGGAGGAGAGACAGCCCCGAAGAAGCCCCCCAGCCACCGCCGTGCCGGCGCCTCGGGGAGCCGCGGGGACGAATCCGCGGGCTCCGCCGGCAGCCGGCCACCCTGAAGTGTCTCTATTCTTCCCTCTACCGAATTTGTTAGTTCAATCTCTAAATTAATGCTTTGTCTGCTTTTTCTCATAGAAGCTTCATCTGATCTCTTCCTATTTGGCTGTGACACCATCTTAGAGAAAAATATCAACTGTGCTGCTTTCATCAACACCTTTTCTTTATAGATTTTGGAGTGACTACCTGTATGTGCTCTCTTTTTGTCCTTGGATATGGGAGCTATCTTGAAGGTTATCTGCCTGGCTGTGTGTTTCCTGGACGGGCCGTGTGTAGCTGGATTTCCTTTTGTATCTCTGCTTTTTTCTTTATGTCTGCTTCTGTTTTCTTGAACCCTATATTACTGTATGAAACAGCCACACCTTCTCTTTCCTGTCTCTCTAAAAATTAAGCAGAGAAACAAACTGTGGAAGATTGTGCTCCAAGCCCAGATTGTAGGAGCTTCTGAGGCTACAGACCAGCAGCACTGTGACTGTTGGACAATGTCATCTACTGCATGCAGGGAGCTGTTTCAGAGCTGCAGAGCTCCCTCAGTGAAAGACAGCTATACCTGAGGTGCACACATTAAAATACCTCAGATCCCTCCTCCCTACAGCTGTTAGACATATTCATACTATTAACAGGATTATTTTCTAGTTTTCAGTGTACCTACATGCTCTCGTTTACCAAATTACTTTGCCACTGGCACACCTGCATTTCCCCACTCTGGGACTCTTAAGGGTATGTCAAGTATATCCCATAGCCTTTAGAAAACAGCTTTTTAGCATCCTGTTTCCCAGAATTTCATTTACTAGTTGTACACACATCTGTTTGCAAATTGTATGTGGCTTAAAGGAATTTTACTACGGGAGCTGCTGAATTTTCAGTTTCTCAACACACGTATAGCACAGCACACACAGTTATAAACAGTTGTACAGAAACTTGATCTTTCCAGATCGAAACATCGTAGTACACGATGCTAATTGCTAAGTAATCAGTGTAAGAACTCCTAGCCAACATCAATGAGTCCTTCATTGTACAATAACCTCTTCTTCACAAGCCAAGCTCAGTATAAGCAACAATCTCTATTGAGAGGATGAGGCATGAAAAGTGTAGTTTCTATAATAAATAAAACACAAGGTAAAAGGTAGATTTCACTCTGTCAAAGGTAATTACACTGAAGGGAGACTGCTGAACCCAAAAGCACTGGGTTAGAGGTACTTACTTTTAAAAGACACCTACAGTACATAAATATTGGACTTCAATATAGGTATTGTAACCTTATTCACAAAATAGAACCCATCTTAATAAGTCTTTACTATTTTGTGCTTTAGAAACTGATAAAGTAGTCACTGGCACATATTCCAGGTTGTTGTTTTTTTCAAATTACTGATTCATTTTCATGCTAATCACCACTGATCTTTTCTCTTTCCAACAGTTTCCTTTACAAGTTCAGAACCTAATGTGGTTTTGGCCTTAAGGTTTACACCACAACATATTATACATTTGCTAACCACCTTATATACCATGAAAATACCTTTCTCCAGTATAGTTTGAGTGGCAGTAGATTCTATCATAGAAAACAAAGCTACATTAAGCTACATTTAAAATGTACACGGTGTAATTCACTTAACAGTAAAAAACACTGGTCTTAACAGTTCAGTTGAGTTATTTTAGGTGGTTGTTTTCACAACGGAATCTAATTTAAATGTAATAAAAATCACATCAATTTATAAGTGATAACATTTATTATAAATGTATATTCTTATCAGTGCCTGCAACCTTAAGTTTGCAGAAAAGCTTAAATCACCTTTTGCAGATACTCACACAAAGATATAAACAGCAGTAAAACTGGTGTTACCAGACGAAGAATGCATCTTCATTCATCAGCTTATCAGTTCACTGCATATACTCAAACAGGAATTGCACTGAAGATAAAATCCACTGTGAGAAACTTCATGACTAAGAAAGCAACATGATCAGTGAATCTGCTTCATTTGGTCCGAAGAATGCAAAGATGGAGGTTTGTTTTACTTTTGTAATTTTTTTTTTTTTTTTTTTTTTTTGGCCCTCATTCAGAGGTATTAAGAAAAAGTGTCTCACTGCTTATGCTACTTCCCGAATATAGATGTAAGGTGTGAAGGTTCATACTGATGTCCCACACTGACAACAGATGAAGGATGCAAGTATTTAATAATGGGAGTGGAAAACAAATCTTAATAATCAAAACTAAAGAAAGCTAAAAAAAAAAAGATGAAATCTACTGTGAGTCATTTTGCTAATTGGAATTTCATATTTGATTTTTCAAAGGGAATTTCATGTTTTTATTTCTGACTTAGAAGCCACAAAAGTTACTTTAAAATGTTTTTACAAATCAAAATGAAAGCGATCCCTTGCAAAGGTAAACCAGAGATGGCAGAGTGCCCACATACAAACCTCACTGAGGGAGAATACAAATTAAAACTGAAGACTTTCTGGCTGTGAAGTGACATTTCCAACTGTTATTAAAAACTCACACACATAAAGTAAGCAATCTTGGTTGTAGGTAAAAATGAAGAGCATAACGAAACTAATTGAAATTTTCAGAAAACAAAAAACAAAAGAAGCTAGCTCTCAAGTTTTACTACATTAAAAACAGAGATCCCAGCAAGAGAGACAATCCGCCTTCATGATCTGACATATGATCTTGTCATGGACCTCAGCTTGTTTCCCGTTTTTGGAGAGGGTTCTGCTCCATGTTGGGAAATTCATTCAATCCATCCTTTGGCTTTTAACCATGGTCTGATAGTTAGAGAGGGTTAACCAGGAGGTTGTGACTAAACTTTGCACCTTGAATCCTTATAATTCATCGAAGTAGTCACACAATCTACCTTGGATGGAACATACTCTAAAAACTCTCCCCTTTCAGCACCACTGGCTTCTTACCATTTCTTTATCTATGGTTTTGTGCAAAAAATTTTCACAATCAAGTAGAGTGGGTCCATGGTTCCATCTCTCCATGCTGCAGTCATGGGTTGTCTACAAGTCTGGAAAAGCTACGAGTCATTATCAGGATGCCAGGAATACAGTCAAGACCTGCCAAGCGCCGCACACTGCTGCCTCTACAGTAAGTAGGTAAGTCTTTTAATTTAAAAGAAATGTCAATCTAGCCACGAGGTGCTGCTGTGAAGTGTAGATAAGGGCTGGCTATACACACCGTAGCAGTGTATCGCAATAAACTTGTTATTTTCGATTTATGCCCAATATTGAAGCGGGGTCTGCACTATGTTATTCCACGCAACAACACAAGAAGGGCAATCAGGAACTAGCTGTGGGTCTAGATAAGGCTGAGGTGGTGAGGAAGTGAGGGCAAGTTTGTGCTACAATGGAGGGACATGAGGGCGAAAAAGAGCAGGGATCCAGGTGGAAAAAGGGTCCCAGCGTTCTCGCGCATCTCGCTCTTCTAGCTGGTCCAACTTCAGAAGTTGTTTTCCACATTTGCATTCACTGCAACACACACGCAGACGCCCTGGTTTCTGAGTATAAATCAGCCTTTAGAGTGCATGACCCATTGTTGCAGTCCCATCCTGGCTGAATGTGTCTCCCCTCTCTTGTAGCCCACTCCCCTTTCTGCGTACTTTCAAAGATAACAAAATAAATGCCACTATAGCCTAAAAAATAATCTTTAAAAAATCAGCCCAGCCTTGAACCCATCCCCCTGCTGAGCATTTTTTCTGCAGCAAAATTCCTTTAATCGTTCCCTGTTGTGTCTGGCTGAATTTTGAGTCTTGCGACAGGCATTTACATATGCCGGTGTTTGCAAGTTAACCAGTAGACTACGAATATATTAAATAACTAGAACTGGAAGTTATAGTTAATCAATAGTTCATTCCAAATCAAAGGTAAAACTAGTTAATAATTATCAGTTGAGTGATTAAAACCGTAATTTGCTTACTAACCAGGGTTTTTAGTCTCTTACATAAAAGGTTCGACTCCTAAGAATGCAAAGAAACTCTAATGCATGAGAAATTGACTACAAGGAATAATAAAGTATCTATCATATAGCATATTTGCATTTTAATAACCTGTTTCCATCATTTTAATTAAAGTTCAAACAGAAAGGAGTACATCTAGGGAAGTTTTATTGTGTGTCATGGTAGATTATCCTTTCTTTTCTCTATGCGGCTGGTCTAAACTGCTCTAAAAATGCTCCAAGTAATAAAAATCTAGAGAATTTTACAGCATGCTAGGCACCTCTAGCAAGCAGTCACGTGACAAAACACAACTGTGACATCAGTGTAGTCAAATGTCCTGGGGCGGGTGTATAGAACCACTACTCCACTCATTGTTAAGCACTCTGAAAGGATTGTTAAAACGTCATTAGAATGGTCTTTTGTGCTGCTGCCAGTTGTAGGAATGGCTTTGGAATGGGAAAAGGAATGTTTATCTGAAGGACCCAGTTTTGCTTCAAATTTCGATCCGGAAAGTTCACAAAAATCAACTGGACAATCTGTGGTGTCCAAGCTGATATAGCAAACTATGTTCGAATCACATCATGGCAGATTCTTTTAATTCTAATTTTAATAAAGTGCCTGATGGCTATAAAGATGATTCAAAGTATCATTTATTCTTTTATGAAATATTTTATTTTGTAAAAAAAAAAAAAAAAACCCTGCTAATTGCACAGTTCTGAATAGCCACAGCTCCAGACGGATTTCCATATCCATTATGGTTCGGGCTTCCTGACTAAATTGATGTCATGGTATCCTAACTAGGAAACTATAAGTATGTATTATATATTATTCCTTTAACTGTCATCTGCTTTATTATCTTTATTCAGTACAGAAAATTGCCATAGGCTGAATGTGTTATTGGTTTGAAAAATGTCCATCCACGAAAAATGAAAACATCAGCAAATATCATATCCCAAATTACACCTTAAAATGTTTTATTTTCATTTTATATTGTATTGGTAAAAACTGGTAAAAAGTATCAGTATCAGTATAAACTCTAACACACCGGAGGATCCTTTTTTGTCAGATAAACAACAATGGTAAATGTTGGATTCTGCAATAAAAAAAAAATGCATTTATGTACAAAATAAACAATCCATGAATGTTTGATTATGAATATTCTACAGACTGGATGCAGCCCAAATGCTGCATCTAATAATTTAAATCTTTAATTTTCTCTGCAGATTTAAGATGATCAAACATCTTTTCTAATAAATTTTATACACAGTTGATAAAATCTTAACAGATCAAAAGAGAAACATATAAAAAGTTTGAACATAAAAGCCGTTAAAAATATACATATAAAAAAGATATCTAATTAGTAATTAGATCTGCAGTTTCCATCATCTTGGACGATAAACGCCTCCATACTTAGTTTATTTTATGCATCATCATTCTCTGTATTATTTGTGAAAAACGTAGCACGCTCCACCACTGGATAGTCAAAGATTAAACGCCTTGGAACAACAACCCTCTGACTATATTTGAAAAACACTGTCCTGTTCTGAGAAACAGGCAAAGTAGTTGCATTATATTTCACTTGCGTTGATTGTAGTTGGTTAGCTGATGATGTATGTAAACTTGAGTTTGTTGTCTCTGTGCTTTCATGCTCAACATCTGTAGATTTTGTTGTAACCTTATCCATTTCTGTGGTCTCAGAGGCCCAAGGGGATGTGCTTTTTGAATGGTTTTCTTCTATTTTGATTGAAAAAAAAGTGGTCCTGGTTGTGCCGACTGGGTCCAATGAAGCTCTGAGAGATTGTTGTGAACTTGTGTTGGAAGACTGCAAACTTTGTAAAGAGGTTACGTTTTGATCTTCTTTGCCTGTGAAAGGAAAATTGAGAAAAGACAAATGTTAGTTTATGGCAGATGGTTTTGTATGATTGTAGTAGCATTTTGATCTTTAGGGGAAATATTTCTTCATCCAGACATACCTGTTATGGCTTTTGGTTCCTCCCCAAGAGCCATTGTGTAAGCGGTTCTTGGTGGTGTTTCTTGAGGAGATGTAACCATAGACATTGTGGTGTCGGCAGAGTAAATTTTTTTATCAACTGCTGTTGATCCAATACTTTCTTTATCAGCAGTGAATGATTTTACTGGTACAAGTGCCTCGGTTGTTTCTGCAGCTACAGTTTGTGTCTCTTGACTTACATTCAAAGTGTTATGTAATTGTGTTACTACAGTGTCTATTGTGGTTGGTTTTACATATGGAGATATACCTATTGAACTGATAGATGTTTGTTCTGTTGCAGAAATCACAGATGACGGTGGTCTCATGGTTGATGTTGTTGCAAAGGACTCCACCATGTTAGTAGATGTATGATGTGTGGTAGCTATTAGACCTTTCACAGTAGTTTGACCCACTTGTAAGGTTGTGGAGTTTTGCATGGATGCCCCATACCAAGCAGTTTGTGTTGTGCTCGCTTTTGACAAAGAGACTTGTCCACTGTTTATTACTTGAGATGTTGTCAGTCCCACTATTTGTTTTGCAGTTGGTTCTTGTGCAGCAGCTGGAGCTGATATTTTTCTTTCTGAACTGGTCCTCACAGATGAGGAATTCTCGAGTGGCTCAGTTGATTGAATTGTTGAGCTTGTAATCTTTGTTAATTTTTCTTGTTGAATAGCTACACTAGTTATCGTTTGTGTTAGAGCAACATCTGGTCTAGCAGTTTGATCTGTTGCGTTGAAGGATTTTGTATTTGTGAACCTTTCGGTTAGTTCGGTTTTCAATCCTGTCATTTCCGATGGTGTTAAAGATGTGGCCTTTATAGTTGTTTTTGTTAGAGTCATAGATGAAGATGGCATTGCAGGGTTAATTGCTGTCTCGGAATTCCCCATTGGTATTGTTGTATGATCTGTGATAGATGTTAGAGTTTTATAAGGAGTTTTAGTTGCTGTACTAGATTGTGAGTGGTTTGCAGTTTTATCCCTTTCACTAGTCTTTGTTATTATCATTGTTTGACTGGTTGTCAATGAAGCTGACCTACTTATTGTGTTAACTTGAGTTGTTGTTGGTCCACCAGATGGATTTATAGTTGTGGGTTGCTTTGAAGCAAATGTCCCTGTGTTTTTGACAGCAAAAGATGATGTTTGAACTGGATTCCCTGATTTAGTAGTTAAACTTGTAATCTGAGTTGATTTTTCTTGCTGCATAGAAATACTGGTTGTTGCAGTATGTGACACTGATGTTGAAGTTGATGTAGATGGACTAAATTCTGTTTTTCCATCAGTTTGAACAACTGTTAAAGACCCTGTAGTTTGCGGTGTTTGTTTTGTTGACATAGATTCTAACTTGTATGTAGTTATTTTAATTGTTGCTCCTATATGTGGTGTTGATGTTGTTGGAAGCTTTGAAGCTTTTGATTTTGTTGTTGAACTTGTAGTGTGTTGTAAATTTGGTAGTGATGAAACCAACGTAGCTGTTTGTGTTTGAGAACTATGTGTTGATCCCAAGGTTTCCTCTGAAACAGTGGATGATTCCAATATATTGTCACTTTCTCCTTGAATGGTTGTTGATCCAGAGGTTGGTTTTCCACTTGTGTGTTGTTTTGTTGTAAATGTTGTTGATTCTGTTGTTTTCGTTGACCCTATATTTTCAGAAAGAGTAGCAATATCCTGAGACTGTGGTTTTGTTGATTCAGTCATGTATTGTGTTGCCTTTTGTGGTGATGGAGAAACCAGCGTAACCCCTGATCCATAATCCCCTGATTCTATAGTTGTTTTTGCAGCCGAAGTATGGGTCTTTGCTGTCACATCTGAAGTCAGTTGTTTTGAGGAGTTTTCTAATTGTGTTGTTGCTGTGCCTTGTTTATTTGTTGCCAATTTTCCAGCATCTGTTTTTGATGTGGTAACAAATGGAGATGAAGATGTGTCTTTTCTAGAAGTTCCTTTTGTAGAACTCAAAGAAGGAGATGATATTACAGTAGATGCTGTCACCATGGTCTTAAGCATTGGTGTGGAAGTATATTCCACTGTAGATGCTTCAGTAATGCTTGTTGGATGACTGGATTGCGTCTGTGTTGCTGTTTGCAGGGTTGTTACAGACTCTAGAGTTTGACTCACAGGTTTTGTTGATGTAGACACTGAACCACTTTCCGTTGTTTCTGTAGTTGATGTTAATCCAGTCAATTGGTTTGCAATTGTAGAGGGTTGTATTAACAACGCTGCAGATGATGTAACATTCCCTGATATGGTTGTTTCATATTCAGCTTCATTCTGACTTTGAAATGTTGCTGATTCTGGTGAGTTTGTTGTTTTTGTAGTTGCAATATTTGAGGCTGATGTAACTTTACCCGATGTATTTCCTAATGGTGTCATGTCTTGATTGCTTGTTTTTGGTTTGCTTTCTGTTGTTCTGGTAGATCTTGTTGTCATAGACCAAGAGGATAGTGTTGGCTGTACAGTTGTTTCTGTTGCAGCAGTCACGGATGAAGGTGACATTGAAGTAGATGGTTTGGTCTCCATTATTTCTTTAGAAGTGTGCCCTGTGCTAAATGACTGGGTTTTGATTGTAAATGGACTAGATTCTGTTTTTCCATCAGTTTGAACAACTGTTAAAGACCCTGTAGTTTGCGGTGTTTGTTTTGTTGACATAGATTCTAACTTGTATGTAGTTATTTTAATTGTTGCTCCTATATGTGGTGTTGATGTTGTTGGAAGCTTTGAAGCTTTTGATTTTGTTGTTGAACTTGTAGTGTGTTGTAAATTTGGTAGTGATGAAACCAACGTAGCTGTTTGTGTTTGAGAACTATGTGTTGATCCCAAGGTTTCCTCTGAAACAGTGGATGATTCCAATATATTGTCACTTTCTCCTTGAATGGTTGTTGATCCAGAGGTTGGTTTTCCACTTGTGTGTTGTTTTGTTGTAAATGTTGTTGATTCTGTTGTTTTCGTTGACCCTATATTTTCAGAAAGAGTAGCAATATCCTGAGACTGTGGTTTTGTTGATTCAGTCATGTATTGTGTTGCCTTTTGTGGTGATGGAGAAACCAGCGTAACCCCTGATCCATAATCCCCTGATTCTATAGTTGTTTTTGCAGCCAAAGTATGGGTCTTTGCTGTCACATCTGAAGTCAGTTGTTTTGAGGAGTTTTCTAATTGTGTTGTTGCTGTGCCTTGTTTATTTGTTGCCAATTTTCCAGCATCTGTTTTTGATGTGGTAACAAATGGAGATGAAGATGTGTCTTTTCTAGAAGTTCCTTTTGTAGAACTCAAAGAAGATGATATTACAGTAGATGCTGTCACCATGGTCTTAAGCATTGGTGTGGAAGTATATTCCACTGTAGATGCTTCAGTAATGCTTGTTGGATGACTGGATTGCGTCTGTGTTGCTGTTTGCAGGGTTGTTACAGACTCTAGAGTTTGACTCACAGGTTTTGTTGATGTAGACACTGAACCACTTTCCGTTGTTTCTGTAGTTGATGTTAATCCAGTCAATTGGTTTGCAATTGTAGAGGGTTGTATTAACAACGCTGCAGATGATGTAACATTCCCTGATATGGTTGTTTCATATTCAGCTTCATTCTGACTTTGAAATGTTGCTGATTCTGGCGAGTTTGTTGTTTTTGTAGTTGCAATATTTGAGGCTGATGTAACTTTACCCGATGTATTTCCTAATGGTGTCATGTCTTGATTGCTTGTTTTTGGTTTGCTTTCTGTTGTTCTGGTAGATCTTGTTGGCATAGACCAAGAGGATAGTGTTGGCTGTACAATTGTTTCTGTTGCAGCAGTCACGGATGAAGGTGACATTGAAGTAGATGGTTTGGTCTCCATTATTTCTTTAGAAGTGTGCCCTGTGCTAAATGATTGGGTTTTGATTGTAAATGGACTAGATTCTGTTTTTCCATCAGTTTGAACAACTGTTAAAGACCCTGTAGTTTGCGGTGTTTGTTTTGTTGACATAGATTCTAACTTGTATGTAGTTATTTTAATTGTTGCTCCTATATGTGGTGTTGATGTTGTTGGAAGCTTTGAAGCTTTTGATTTTGTTGTTGAACTTGTAGTGTGTTGTAATTTTGGTAGTGATGAAACCAACGGAGCTGTTTGTGTTTGAGAACTATGTGTTGATCCCAAGGTTTCCTCTGAAACAGTGGATGATTCCAATATATTGTCACTTTCTCCTTGAATGGTTGTTGATCCAGAGGTTGGTTTTCCACTTGTGTGTTGTTTTGTTGTAAATGTTGTTGATTCTGTTGTTTTCGTTGACCCTATATTTTCAGAAAGAGTAGCAATATCCTGAGACTGTGGTTTTGTTGATTCAGTCATGTATTGTGTTGCCTTTTGTGGTGATGGAGAAACCAGCGTAACCCCTGATCCATAATCCCCTGATTCTATAGTTGTTTTTGCAGCCAAAGTATGGGTCTTTGCTGTCACATCTGAAGTCAGTTGTTTTGAGGAGTTTTCTAATTGTGTTGTTGCTGTGCCTTGTTTATTTGTTGCCAATTTTCCAGCATCTGTTTTTGATGTGGTAACAAATGGAGATGAAGATGTGTCTTTTCTAGAAGTTCCTTTTGTAGAACTCAAAGAAGGAGATGATATTACAGTAGATGCTGTCACCATGGTCTTAAGCATTGGTGTGGAAGTATATTCCACTGTAGATGCTTCAGTAATGCTTGTTGGATGACTGGATTGCGTCTGTGTTGCTGTTTGCAGGGTTGAAACAGACTCTAGAGTTTGACTCACAGGTTTTGTTGATGTAGACACTGAACCACTTTCCGTTGTTTCTGTAGTTGATGTTAATCCAGTCAATTGGTTTGCAATTGTAGAGGGTTGTATTAACAACGCTGCAGATGATGTAACATTCCCTGATATGGTTGTTTCATATTCAGCTTCATTCTGACTTTGAAATGTTGCTGATTCTGGCGAGTTTGTTGTTTTTGTAGTTGCAATATTTGAGGCTGATGTAACTTTACCCGATGTATTTCCTAATGGTGTCATGTCTTGATTGCTTGTTTTTGGTTTGCTTTCTGTTGTTCTGGTAGATCTTGTTGGCATAGACCAAGAGGATAGTGTTGGCTGTACAGTTGTTTCTGTTGCAGCAGTCACGGATGAAGGTGACATTGAAGTAGATGGTTTGGTCTCCATTATTTCTTTAGAAGTGTGCCCTGTGCTAAATGATTGGGTTTTGATTGTAAATGGACTAGATTCTGTTTTTCCATCAGTTTGAACAACTGTTAAAGACCCTGTAGTTTGCGGTGTTTGTTTTGTTGACATAGATTCTAACTTGTATGTAGTTATTTTAATTGTTGCTCCTATATGTGGTGTTGATGTTGTTGGAAGCTTTGAAGCTTTTGATTTTGTTGTTGAACTTGTAGTGTGTTGTAAATTTGGTAGTGATGAAACCAACGTAGCTGTTTGTGTTTGAGAACTATGTGTTGATCCCAAGGTTTCCTCTGAAACAGTGGATGATTCCAGTATATGGTCACTTTCTCCATGAATGGTTGTTGATCCAGAGGTTGGTTTTCCACTTGTGGGTTGTTTTGTTGTAAATGTTGTTGATTGTGTTGTTTTCGTTGACCCTATATTTTCAGAAAGAGTAGCAATATACTGAGACTGTGGTTTTGTTGATTCAGTCATGTATTGTGTTGCCTTTTGTGGTGATGGAGAAACCAGAGTAACCCCTGATCCATAATCCCCTGATTCTATAGTTGTTTTTGCAGCCGAAGTATGGGTCTTTGCTGTCACATCTGAAGTCAGTTGTTTTGAGGAGTTTTCTAATTGTGTTGTTGCTGTGCCTTGTTTATTTGTTGCCAATTTTCCAGCATCTGTTTTTGATGTGGTAACAAATGGAGATGAAGATGTGGTTTTTCTAGAAGTTCCTTTTGTAGAATTCAAAGAAGGAGGTGATATAACAGTAGATGCTGTCACCATGGTCTTAAGCATTGATGTGGAAGTATATTCCACTGTTGATGCTTCAGTAATGCTTGTTGGATGACTGGATTGCATCTGTGTTGCTGTTTTTGTTGTAGATGTAGGTAAAGAGGATTGTTCTGGAGATTCCATTTGTTGGGGTGTTGTTGAATTAACGAGTTTTGTGGTGCCAACAGAGCTTTGCATTGTGGCTGAGACATTGTTCTGCTTTCTTGTTGAAGTTTGTTCTGCCGTGCCTGATTTAGATGACAGCTTTATGTGTGTTGTGTCTGTTAATGCTGAAACTGTGGCCTGTGATTCAGAAATCTGTCCTTGAGTGACTTCCTTTGTGGGTGTGTCAGCCGACACAAAGTTGCTGATGGGTGTGCTGGCACTTTTGAAATATAAAGACTGCACAACATCAGTTGACATTCCTTCTTCATTTGTTGGTAGTAAATTATCTTCTGAAAAACCTGATTGCTTTACAGTGGATATACTGGATGGTTGTGCACTTCCTTTAACAGACATTTGCATTATTGTACTTGTTATTATCTTAGCTGTTGGTGATTCATTTAATTCTGTAGGTTTTATTGTTGAACCTGTTATGTCAGTCATAAAGAAAGCTGTGTGAGAGGGAAAGAATAAATATAGGTAAGACTACTGAGCTAAAATCAATATTCATCTTAGTTTATATGATTACTTGAAACAATATCAGATAGAACACGCACTGTATTGTTAATTCTATATTTAATTAAATAAATAATAAAAGTTCGAAAATCACTGATACAAACTCTTATAATAATATTTATTGTTAAATTGATTTCTTGTCTTCTGTCCCTTTACAAAATGGATGACAGTGGCGTTGGATGTAGGAGTTTGCTCTGAAATCGAAGGATTGACGGTTCAAGCCCCGACTCCGATTTTCAGTGTCATTGTGTCCTTGGGCAAGACACTTCACCTGCATTGTCTACTGATGGTGGTCAGAGGGCCCAGTGGCGCCAGTGTACGGCAGCCCTGCTTCTGTCAGTGAGCCCCAGGGCAGCTGTGGCTACAATGTAGCTTGCCACCATCAGTGTGTGTGTGAATGAATGTAGTGTAAAGCGCTTTGGTCAAGTCTCCTGACTTGAATAAAGGTGCTATATAAGTACATGCCATATGTATCATTTTCTAACTGCTATTGCGTTTGGTTATGCAGCAAGTTTTTTAAAGTTCATAAAGAGCTTGAGGTTTTAACTTCTTTCAGGAGATGATTTCCTCCAAATTGAACTAAAAGCTCTTTGGTAATTCTTTTGTTGGTGTTTAAATACTGTTATTTTTTTCAATTGCATTTTCTTAAGGGGGATTTCATGAAACTAAAAAAAATCTATCACATAATACCATTGAAACCAGTTACTGGCAATATGTCAACCAAAAACCAGATTCAAAATTGAAACTCAAAATGTTACTTTATATGTTGATAAAGCAGTCCCCACTCCTTTGCATGACCTTCAGAAAATCTGCAGAACTGTTGACTGAAACTACTTTGAATGACAACTACTAATCTGTAACTAAACAAAGGGAATAAAACCTCTAAAGACTTTTGCGCATTGCTAGATATTATTTGTTGTTTCTCCATTATTATTGTTTTGTAAACCTTTCTTTGTTGTAAAAGAAAAACTTCCCCTACATGTTCATTACTTATTAGATTACTCACCTGCCACCAGTTTCAGAAGGAATCCACCGTTCATTGTGGAAGCTGATGGGGCAGCTGATGAATATCTTTTTTTTTTGTCTGCAAAAGACAAAGAGCAAAGAGGGTTTGAATTCAAATCTTTTTTTTATAGCAAATATACAAACACTCCCTACCTTAAAATGTCTTGGATACCAATGTTACATGCTTTTGTCTGGTTTGTAAGAAGAAAAATTCAAAACATTTTAAAGTAATTTGTTACTGAATGTCCATTGCAAGCTTTTTGTTCAATTTATCAAGCCTTAATTTTAGTCTTGTCACTTATATGCTAAATTCATTCTTTTTGCATGGTTCTCAATGTTTTTCCAACTTACACTAAAATGAAAGATATAAAAAAAACTAATGACTAATAAAAGGAACATATGATATGCACTTTAAATTAAAGACGATATGAATATATCAATAAAAAATATCGTCGTCGTCTCCCGCTTTATCCGGAACCGGGTCGCGGGGGCAGCAGGCTAAGCAGAGACTCCCAGACTTCCCTCTCCGCAGACACCTCCTCCAGCTCTGTTGGGGGAAGCCCTAGGCGCTCCCAGGCCAGCCGAGAGACATAGTCTCTCCAGCATGTCCTGGGTCGTCCCCTGGGCCTCCTCCCGGTGGGACATGCCTGGAACACCTCCCGAGGGAGGCGTCCAGGGGGCATCCGAAGAAGATGTCCGAGCCACCTCAACTGACTCCTCTCGATGTGGAGGAGAACCGGCTCTACACTGAGCCTCTCCCGAATGACCGAGCTCCTCACCCTATCTCTAAGGGAGAGCCCAGCCACCCTGCGGAGAAAGCTCATTTCAGCCGCTTGTATCCGGGATCTCGTTCTTTCGGTCATGATCCAAATTTCATGACCATAGGTGAGGGTAGGAACGTAGACCGACCGGTAAATTGAGAGCTTTGCCTTTTCGCTCAGCTCTCTCTTCACCAGGACAGACCGGTGCAGCGTCCGCATTATTGCAGCAGCCGCACCGATCCGTCTATCGATCTCCCGCTCCATTCTTCCCTCACTCGTGAACAGGACTCCAAGATACTTGAACTCCTCCACTTGAGGCAAGGACTCCCCTCCAACCCGAAGGGGACAAGCCACCTTTTTCCGGTCGAGAACCATGGCCTCGGATTTGGAGGAGCTGATTCTCATCCCGGCCGCTTCACACTCGGCTGCGAACCGCCCCAGCGCACGCTGTAGGTCTTGGCAGGAGGGAGCCAGCAGAACTACGTCATCCGCAAAAAGCAGGGACGAGATCCGCTGTTCCCCAAACCAGACCCCCTCCGGTCCTTGGCTGCACCTAGAAATCCTGTCCATAAAAGTTATGAACAGGACCGGTGACAGAGGGCAGCCCTGTCGGAGTCCAACATGCACCGGGAACAGGTCCGACTTAATGCCGGCAATGCGAACCAGACTCCTGCTCCGCTTGTACAGAGAACGGATGGCCCCTAATAAAGGGCCCCTGACTCCATACTCCTGGAGCACCCCCCACAGGGCAGCACGAGGGACACGGTCGAATGCCTTCTCCAAGTCCACAAAACACATGTGGACTGGTTGGGCAAACTCCCATGAACCCTCAAGCACCCTACAGAGGGTGTAGAGCTGGTCCACCGTTCCACGGCCAGGACGAAAACCACACTGCTCCTCCTGCAGCCGAGGTTCGACAATCAGCCGGACTCTCCTCTCCAGCACCCTGGCATAGGCCTTTCCGGGGAGGCTGAGAAGTGTGATTCCCCGATAGTTGGAACACACCCTCCGGTCCCCCTTCTTGTGGAGGGGAACCACCACCCCAGTCTGCCAATCCAGGGGAACTGTCCCCGACCTCCACGCGATGTTGAAGAGACGTGTCAACCATGACAGCCCGACAACATCCAGAGCTCTGAGATACTCAGGTCGGATCTCGTCCACCCCCGAAGCCTTGCCACCGTGGAGTTTTTTGACTACCTCGGTGACTTCAGCCTGGGTGATGGACGAACCCAGCCCCAAGCACCTCGTCTCTTCTTCCCCCACGGAAGGCATGTCTGTCGGGTTGAGGAGATCCTCAAAGTATTCCTTCCACCGCCCGACAATATCCTCCTTCAAGGTCAGCAGCTCCCCACACCCACTAAAAACAGTGTTAGTGAAGCACTGCTTTCCCCTCCGGAGGCGCCGGACGGTTTGCCAGAATCGCTTTGAGGCCAACCGATAGTCTTTTTCCATGGCCTCTCCAAACTCCTCCCAGGCCCGAGATTTTGCCTCTGCAACCGCCCGGGCCGCGACACGCTTGGCCTCACGGTACCTGCTTGCTGCTTCAGAAGTCCCACAAGCCAGCCAGGCTTGATAGGACTCCTTCTTCAGCTTGACGGCATCCCTTACTATCGGTGTCCACCACCGGGTTCGGGGATTGCCACCACGACAGGCACCGCAAACCTTACGGCCACAGCTACGGGCAGCCGCATCGACAATAGAGGCAGAGAACACAGCCCATTCGGACTCCATGTCTCCAACCTCCCTCGGAACCTGAGAGAAGCTCTCCCGGAGGTGGGAGTTGAACACGTCTCTGACCGAGGGCTCCACCAGACGTTCCCAGCAGACCCTCACTACACGTTTGGGCCTGCCGAGTCTTTCAGGCTTCCTCCTCTTCCAGCGTATCCAACTCACCACCAGGTGGTGGTCGGTGGACAGCTCCGCCCCTCTCTTCACCCGAGTGTCCAAGACATGCGGCCGAAGATCAGAAGATACGACTACAAAGTCGATCATCGACCTTCGGCCTAGGGTGTCCTGGTGCCAAGTGCACCGATGGACATCCTTATGCCTGAACATGGTGTTCATTATGGACAATCCGTGACTTGCACAGAAGTCCAATAATGAGACACCACTCGGGTTCAGAGCTGGGGGCCCGTTCCTCCCGATCACGCCCCTCCAGGTGTCACTGTCGTTTCCCACGTGGGCGTTGAAGTCTCCCAGCAGAATGATGGAATCCCCGGGAGGGGCGCTTTCTAACACCCTCCCCAGGGATGCTAAGAAGGCCTGGTACTCCGTACTGCCGTTCGGCCCATAGGCCGAAACAACTGTCAGAGTCCTCCCTCCAACCCGAAGGCGAAGGGAGGCGACCCTCTCGTCTACCGGGGTGAACTCCAACACGAGACGGCTGAGCTGGGGGGAGACAAGCAGCCCCACCCCCGCCCTCCGCCTCTCCTCGCGGGTAACTCCAGAGTAGAAGAGAGTCCAGCCTCTCTCAAGGAGCTGGGTTCCAGAGCCCTGGCTGTGCGTAGAGGAGAGCCCAACTATTTCTAGCTGGTATCGCTCCACCTCCCGCACAAGCCCGGGCTCCTTCCCCCCCAGTGAGGTGACATTCCACGTCCCCAGAGCTAGTTCAAGCGCCCGCGGATCAGGTCGCCGAGGTCTCCGCCTCTGGCTGCCGCCCAATCCTCTTTGCACCGGTCCCTCATGGTTCCCCCTGCAGGTGGTGGGCCCACTGGGGGATGGCCTCGCGTCGCTCCTTCGGGCTGGGCCCGGCCGGGTCCCGCGAGGAAGAACCCGACCACCAGGCGCTCGCCGACGAACCCCAACCCCAGGCCTGGCTCCAGGGTGGGGTCCCGGCTCCGCCGTACCGGGCGACGTCACGTGCCTCGTTTGAGTCCTCGTCATAAGGGTTTTTGAACCGCTCTTCGTCTGACCTGTCACCCAGAGCCTGTTTGCCTTGGGAGACCCTTCCAGGGGCATTTAGCCCCCGACAACATAGCCTCTGGGATCACCCAGGCACTGAAACCCCTCCACCACGTTAAGGTGGCGGTTATAAAAAATATCAACCTCATAAAATCCCAATGCCTCTCTCGTCAGCTGCATTTGCTGAAGAGACAATTTGTACTGTTCTTTAGTGTCATTCAGTCTTAGTAAAACTTTTCAAAGGTGGATCACCTCTTATCTGTCAGTGAGCCCCAGGGCAGCTGTGGCTACAATGTAGCTTGCCACTATCAGTGTGTGAGTGTGTGTGTGAATGGGTGAATGAATGTAGTGTAAAGGGCTTTGGTCAAGTCTCCTAACTTGAATAAAGGCGCTATATAAGTACATGCCATTTACCATTTATCTAAAGCATCTATTGTTTGCCTGGTCAGCCAGGCTGAAAATGCCTTTTGAGAGGCATAGGCCAGTATCAGGTATTACATATAGGTATTACACAGGTATTTCCGTACAAACCAGGACCTCAACGACTCCTCAACATTAAGGGGCAGACCTGTTCTTTTGGTTCAATTTGCATGTTTTCTGAGATATAATAAGGCTTTTGTTGGGCTACTCTGTAAATATTGGAACTCAACGCTTATCCAGACATTTTGAATTGAAAAAGCTTCCTGGATGGGAAGCGGAACATCTTCAAACATGCAAAACAAAGTCCAGTGGTTTGCTTTTCAACTTTTTTAACTTTTTTTGGAACAACTATTACTTGGATGACTAAGAATCTTTACCAGCATCCAAAATCTATTTTTGTCAATGTACAACATAAAAATAACTAAATTGTGCGCCTTACTGGTAACGGTGCTTTCAGGAAGTGATTCTAGTTATTGGTAGGATAAAAAGTTTTCTGGTGCCACTGTTGACAGTAAATTACCGTAATTAAAATAATGAATGTATTGTTTGTAAATGCAATCATAATTGAACTCTAAAAACAACCAGACATAATTATTCAAACCTGCTTTACACTGTCTGTGGAGTAATGACTACTACCTGATAGAATGTATCGTGTGAATAGATGCTACTGGTATTCAAACTGTCTCTGAAGGGTTTGGCTCTATTGTAATTGTGACCTTTACAATAGACAGTCTCAAAGGTCATGTTTGCTGAAACCAACTGCGATTAAAAAGATAATAAACTGACTTAACATTCACACTTGTACTGTCATCAGATTTCTAAAGGGATCACCTACTTATTGTACACATAGTTTGTCCATTCAAAGGCACTAACACAAAGCAGAGTTCAAACTTAGAGGCACTGATGTTATTAGAGTGCGGGAGGGAACCAGAGTTTCTTATAAAAACAAAAAAAGACAAACAAATATTGGGCAACAGGATAATATGGACTGTAAGCCTGTACAGCTAAATGGCTCAAACCCCAATCCCCTGTGCAGCTTGGCAGTAACACATTTTATGAAGCACTCCCTTCATCAACCTCTAGCACTGTGCTTGGATTTTGGTGGCATTAGATTAATAGATAACTTGTTTCCTGGAGTTATATAACATAATTTAAATATCCAGCCTTTTTTATTCAGTTCTGCGTGTCAAAGTTCCTTCTCCTGATAACACAATAGTGTTCATCAAGAGTTGATATAGCCAGTTTGCTCTTCAGACTGGAGATTTAATTTCTTTTCCTCACAGCTTCGCACATTTACAGCCCTGGAAAAAAAAGGAAATTTAATAGACAATTCAAACTTATTTCTTGATTGTGTCTGTTTGAATTTCAGGTCATATTCATTTGGTTACATTGAACTGAATAGGCTTACATTCTAAAGGAGATTTGAATAGGAGCAAGTGTGGACATTTTGTTGCTCTGGATGAGAAAAACTGCCTTCCTGGAATTGCATTTCAAAATATATTACTTGCAATTGTGCATGCTTTCATTTACAAATTAAATGTGTCTTATACATACAGATTATATTCTTGTTAATGTTTAAAACCTCTGAATAAACCAGTCTGAGTCAGATTTAATCCTGTTTCATCTCTTGATCATCATTCTTAACCCTGCCAGACTAACTTTTTAAGGATGGGTCATACCAGTTGTTCCTGTACAGTAAAGGAAGGCCTAAGGCATTCAGCTTCCCAGTACTCAGATTAGATTGTTTACATGCATGCCTAAAAATGAATAAGCCCAGAGCATTGTTTGCAAATGTAAACATTACATTAATGACATTTTCTCATGTTTCAAAGGCGTTTGACATATGTGGATTTCATATTTATATATGTATTATATGTATTTCTTTGTCTGAACAAACCACAAATAAGGAAAAAGTTGCATAGCATTTTTTGTGTATTGTATATACATATATTATCAGAAGAACAAAAATGTATTCTGGAAATCTGTTGGTTTAACAAATCTAATGAAAAAATATATTTGCTTTAGAAAAATGTGTACGTAATTGCAAATAATAAATACACAGTAAAGCACATAGTTTCTGGAAAATTACAGAGTGTACAGTATATTTGTGATATTATTGGGATGATCTTTGGGTTTTAATTTTTTTGTTGTTGTTTTCCTAATTGGATCTGCTGTCTTTGTGTTCCTGCTTCAATAAATCCTCTGAACAATCCTACGAACTCTCTTGTACAAGTTCGCACCTCATCCTGCAGGGGTTTCCTGGTCACTGCAACCAGGTTGCCACCTTTTAGGAAACTCCTAAACAATGTATGAGTCCTTAATGACAAGCTCTATTTAAACAATCAGTAGGGCAGAGGATTGTTGGTTTTTAGCAGCCTATGATTCAAATTATTAGAAATATTTAAAGTCTTTATCAAAGCACATGGTCTTTTTTTTTCTCCATTATCTCCACCCATTTACCACACATGAAGGTTTTTACTCGCTCCTTCAGGATTGGGGAATTTACCACATCTAAGCCATTAAAAAAACATTTGCTACATGTTTCAACACATACGCTTAGGTAAGTAGACTCAATCCGGCTAAATGTATAATCATGTTGCACAGGCCTAAAGTCAATAAACAACATTCAAATGTATAAATGACTCTGGGTTAAACTCACCGCTTTATTGGTCAGATACGATATCTTGAGAAATTTTTCTGTTCTCTAATAAGTTTTAAAAAAAACTAAAAAGCAAAGAACAGAGTTAAGCTTATTTTGCAGAAACCTGTTCTTCCTGCTCTCACAACGGCAGTTGCTGTGCCTCGCTGCACAAAGTCAAATATGTAAATTGCAGAAGTTGGACTCCTCTATGTAACAAGATTTAAATGAGGCCATGCATAAAAAAAAAAAAAAAAAACTACATTACAACATGCTCTGTGCTCAAAACGTATGTTCTGTACATTCACTTTCATCTGGAGGAGAAAGATGCAACCTAACAAAAAAAAAAAAAACAGAAGGTTTTTCATGCTACTAAAGGTAGCAAGTAAATATAATATTCTATGAAATGATAAATACCCCAGGCGACCTGTCCAGGGTCTAACCTGTGTGTCACTGTGATGCTTTGCATTCAGTTGTGCATTTCCTTTAGTCACTTCCCAGCCACCAGTTAGCAGTGGGCAGCTGCAGGCTCCATCTGACGTTTTTACCAGCTCCCCATGTTCTAGCCGGGGCTAATCCTCTCTCCCAGCTGAAGTCTAGCCTGGTGATTTCGGCTGTCTATGTCGAAGTCAGTTCCGTTCATCTCCAGTGCCTTCCTGCCCCTTGTCTGCAGTATCTTCACCCTTATCAATAAACTTTTAAATGTCATAATTTGCTGGCTTGAATGACTGAGTTCTACTTGAAGAAAAAACCTAACACTCGCCCATTGATTGCCATGAGGGGGAAGAGGGATGGACGATAAATACCCGCTAAAACTAGGTTTTCTTTGTATTATAATAGTAATTGGATTCTTAACAGGTTTTGAAAAATATTTAACCTGTGGTGTGCAAAAAACACTCAGTACAGAAATCAATGTACTATAATGATGATAGAGGTTTTAGCATATCCCCAGTAATGTCTGTCAGTATAAAGCATTTTTCTATTGGTCCCCCTAAAAATTTTCTTTCACAATCATAGTAATGTCAATGTTGTTAAAATGAATTTTGCCTTGTTGATTTGTTGATTGATCCGAAGTTGAGCAAGGGGATGTTCAGAAATAAAAAGCAGTTTATTAATGAAGCAGTTAAATGAAGAAATAATTAAATTTGTGTATAACTGTAGGCTATTGCCTGGATAAGCTTTATTTTTCCAGGTACAAAGCAATAATTATATGGGAATCTTTAATATAAGTCATCTGCAAAAACATGTTTTCCTAAGTGAACCCTTATTTATTTCTTATCACATCCAAAATGGCAAAAGCACCCTTCCTGTTCATCCACAATCCAAAACTGTACTTGCCAATTGTTGTCCATGGCAACCGTGAGAACACAGCATAACATTTACTTTAGCCCTGATATTACCCACGCATCAAAGGCATCACTACCACAATACAACGGTTGACAGACAAATACGTGGCATACCAGCATGTCTTTTTTTAGGTTATTGTTTTCATAAGGATAAAAGACGAGTTTTCATAGACATTTTTTTGTTGTTTTTGATCTTTGTTTTTATCCCAAGTTTATAAGGTGAACTCCTCAGAAAATAGCTGCTCACCTGCTTTCAGATGTCAACCAGCTTATAGTAAAGCTTTAGTGACAGCCTTTACTGAGAAGCTGTGGCAGACAAATGTTAATGAAAAATTTTCCCATACACAAATTCCAAGAGCTATAAAAGCTGCATGACATTTTAAGTAAAATTCATGCAAATTAACAGATTAGATGAAGTTTTGGAAAAATATATTCATCCCTTGTTTACTGCGTATCAGCAATAATATATTACTCGGAAAAAATGATGCATGACAGGTTCAAAAGAGAAACTCAAACATCTATCTCCCTCTACTGTACATTCAGGGGAAATTCCCAAACAGAAGAACATTTTCAACCTTTTTATGTGTTTGCCTAACTTCTTTGTTCCTGCTTGATCAGAGTTTGATGAGAAATGCTGTGTTGGAGATTATGGATTGGAGGTCTTTGGTTGGTGATCAGATTTTAATTTAAGGTTCTTTGACAAACAGGTTATTTCCTTTCTCAGCCATTTGACTCTCATCTCTACTTTCTTTTTGCATGCTCTCTCTTGATAAAAAGATAAATGGGTGATAAAGAAGCAGTGTTTTAATTTTTACTGAGTTTGTCATATCTGCGTCATTGTGGTTGGGACTGATTAGGGATGTTATTCTAACTTGGAATGCTGCTGAGTCTGTCTTTACTTTGATTTTTCATGGAATTTGACTCCTATGACAAAGAGAGAAGCTATTTCTATTAAATAAGTTTCTTAAATTTAACATTTAATATCAACTTTTGGGATATTTCAGATGTTTTTTGGTCCCCAACAGAAAGAACTTTCACACAGTTTGGTTAAAAAAGGGGTGTACATGTATCATCAATGATCATTCAATGTGCCTTTGTAAAACCAGAGGTTATTGGACTTGACCTTTATCTTTAGCCATTAAAAGAAAACCGATTTGATCTAATATTCAGGTTTAAAACTAATTAGGCGGTTTAATCACATTATATACCTTAAAATAGTCTCCGTATTTCAACCTACAGAGCAACAAGTTTACCGTCCTTTGCAAAACCTTCAAGACTGAAACGCGAGTAATTGGCATCAATGTATTGATAAAACATACCCATTAATACACACAAGTGTGCAAATTCATGTTTATCTTGACAAGCAAAAAAATATATATTAATATATCAATGTAATTGATCGATGCCCTGTTTAAAATCTGCATCACCAGTCACTTTCATATGTGCACAAGGCAATTATACACTAATGTATAAATGCAGACCACGTATTAAGTAGTTATCCAAGTCAGACTTGAAAGAAGAATTTATTTAAACTGTATTTTAAAAATACAAATCAATAAATGGCAGGAAAAAATATCTTCAAAGAAATGTAATGACTGAAATTATCAGCCAAGCTTGTATACTAATGTGATACAATACACTTTACAGTATATAACCACAGTTTAGTTCATTCTGTATTTAAAGAATGGCTATATTGGCTAGAAGAAAATAAAATATCATCTACACTAGCTAAACATGTTTACCTATAAATTTTCCAACATATTACATAAATTTAGCTTATGCCATCTACAACTGCAACTAGAATAGAATAGAATAGAATAGAATAGAATAGAATAGAATAGAATAGAATAGAATAGAAAACCCCTTTAGTGTCCCACAATAGGGAAACTCAGTTGTTTACAGCAGCAAAAAGATTATAGAAAAATTGTCAGACAAATATGGACCTTAAAAATGTATAAGAATAACATAATAGTGAAGAATTAAAAAAATAAACAAATAAAATACTGTAATGTAAAGTGTTTTGACAATACAAAAACTGTGCACATGGAGATTAAATATGCATTTATATAATCTAATAATTTAACTATATAATCAATCCATTATTTATGTCCTTGTAACAAAGCCTAAGCTATCTAATCGAAACAAAATGAAACATGCTTAAATATGTCATACACCATGGCTAATTGTTTGCTAATATAGTTCAATAATAAAGCAACAACATGACTAATATGCAACAAGTGACTAATGTGGTTCTTTCATTATCATTACTCAAACTAATATGACTGTAGATTACATAATGAGGTTAACAAGGAGGTAAGTTGAATAAGCTAGTTAATACATATAGATATTTAGGATATTAACTGGGTGGAATGTCTCTTTCTTTTTATCCTCCACATATACAAATTCATTTGGAAGTGATTGATTTCCAGATCTCAATGGTGTTTTAATTAACTTTAATTAAAAAAGTTATTATCAGATTGACCTCTAGGTTTAGACAATAATTAGTCCATCTTTTGTCTTTAAATTACTTCAAATAATTTCCCTCTGAATATACTGTCTGCACAACATTTTGCTCACAATATCAAGCTGTACATTTCCTCATACTTTGCAGTCTCATATTTTTACTTTCTGTTTCTATATTTCTACATTTGTGCATTTCTCAATGCTCGGTCGCAGGATTTTCTTGTCAGACTGTTCCTCATAAATTTCGATTTACCTATACAGGATACTTCTATTCTAATTTTAAAGAGAATATAACAGTGTTTTACTTTTCTGCCTTTATGATAGTTTAAAACAAATAACTAAATGATTAACAAACATTTAAAATATCAACAAAAGATGAACTAAAAGTAAATATACTGTACTGGAGTGTCTGCTTTTAATGAGTTTGTCACTTCTGCTTAAGCGCAGTAAGGACTGAAGGGGGAATGTGTGAACAGAATCTTTTTGGGTAGATCTATTCTTCAAATTCTGAATGGATTTAAGGTCTTTAAAGCCAAAGAAACCAGGAATTCTTATTACGACTATGTGGAAACTTTCGAAGAAGAGCGATAAGACCTGCATAACATCCCAATTATAAGCCGTAAATCTTTCAGTTTTGCTTGGATCATTTCAAGAAATATATTGCAGGAACTACTTATCCTTCTAGTTTACAGAGAGACAAATTAGCATTCCTCTGCAAAACCTAAAAAGCACATAACACCAAAGAAATGTGTACCAATTCAAGATCACATACCCCTTCACAAAAGAATGCATGTTTTGTTTTTTTTTCAAGTTCAAGTGATATCCTTTTTTGGACTATGCCACATTTTTGTGAAACCAAACAATAGCAGGCTAAAATCAGATGATGATCACCTGATGATTGTGCAACTATAATAAGAGAATTATATGCAATTGCACTTAAATGGTCCAACACAAACGATGATTAAAATGATTGTAGTGTTTACGACAATTCTTTCATAAACTTTACAAAATCAATATTGTCAACACTGGAACAGTGATGCATTAAATAAGTAGCCTTTGTTGGGTTACTGTATAACACCTCGAACTCAACGCTATTCCTGACATTTTGAATCGAAAAAGCTTCCTGGATGGGAAGCCAATTCTCCAAATCTTCAAATTCAAAAACCAAGTCAAGTGGATTGCTTTTGATTTTTTTGTTTGTTTGTTTTGGAATAACTAGGACCTGGATGACTGAGAACCTTCACCAGCATTAAATAAGATGCTAATGTGAGTTATGAAAGACTCATATACAAAATAGCAAAAGCTCTCATTTAATTAGAAAATAAGCCCTTTGGAAGGTTTGTCTCTAAACTTGGG